ATGCTGGCAGGAACGGGAGGTAAGGGAAGGATTCCTGGGAGAGAAAGTTTCAGTGGAAAGAGGATCAGGTCGCTTCTTCTCTGGGGAAGAGAGAAGCATCCCTGATGGTAGGAACACGAGCAAAGACCCACGCACAGGTGGAGTGACCTGTGCTGGGAACCCTGAGCAGGCATCACTAGAGCTGTGGTTCTCAACCAGGGTGATTTCGCCACCCCACTCCCAAGCCCCCACCAGGGACATTTAGCAATGTCTGGAGACATTTGTGGTTGCCACATCTAGTGGGGAGGGGTGTTGTTACTGGTACCTCGTTGGTAGAACCCAGGACAGCTGCTAAACATACCTCAATGCACAGAACAGCCTCCAACAACAAAGAATTATCTGGTCCTCAATGCCAATAGTGTTGAGATGCCTGCCTTGGAGGATGGAGTGTGAATAGGAGAGCGGCCACCTGTGGGAAACCAATGTGCCTGTATCTGGGGAGCTGCTGCCATCAGACCTGCCTTCCCTAAAACAGAGATACAAGACCTGCACCACATCAGCAGAAGAAAAGAGTGGGAGAGGTCTAATCTGGAGAGTGGAAGTGTAAATATATTCTTGGAGCCAGTTTGACATCTGCACTCATACCTCAGTTGTGTTTGTTGAACAAGACTCTGCTGTACCAACAGAAAGTAACCTGGGGGCCATGATGGAGACGATTTGTACGCCCATCCCAGGGAGCAGCAGGTCACCCAGTTTATCCACAGGATTTGCTTTGCCTGGTTAGCCCACAGTGGGACACAAGAAGGAGAATTGGAGCTATTCCCAAGGGCCATCTGGGATCAGACATGATCACCAAGGACTGCGGAATTCCCTCTGCAAACCCGGGAACATTTCCTTCGTGAGAAAGAAGCTCCAGGTGTAACTGTCTCTACAGTGAGTTCCCAACTCTAGGAATACGGAAACACTTTCCTTAAAAGAGCTGTCAGGAAATGCAAATCAAAACCACAATGAGGTATCACCTCACACTGGTCAGAATGGCCACCATCAAAAAGTCTACAAATAATAAATGCTGGAGAGGGTGTGGAGAAAAGGGAACCCTCATTCACTGTTAGTGGGAATGTAAATTGGTGCAGCCACTATGGAAAACAGTATGGAGGTTCCTTAACAAACTAAAAGTAGAGTTACCAGATGATCCAGAGATCCCACTCCTGGGCACAGATCTGGAAAAAGAACCCAAAAACTCTAATTCAAAAAGACACATGCACCCCAATATTCATAGCAGCACTATTTACAAGAGCCAAGACATGGAAGCAACCTAAGTGCCCATCAACAGACAACTGGCTTAAGAAGATGTGGGGTGTATATATATATATATACATATATATATATGGAATATTATCCATAAAAAAGAATGAAATACTGCCATTTGCAGCAACATGGATGGACCTATAGAATATTATGCTTAGTTAAGTCAGACAGAGAAAGGCAAATACTGTATCACTTATATGTGGAATCTACAAAGTAGTACAAATGAATCTATATACAAAACAGAAACAGACTCACAGACACAGAAAATAAACTTATGGTCACCAAAGGGGAAAAGGCGGGGGGAAGGGGTAAATTAGGAGTATGGGATTAACAGATTCAAACTACTCTACATAAAATAGATAAGCAACAAGGATTTACTCTATGGCACAGGGAACTGTATCCAGTATCTTGTAATAACCTCTAATGGAACGTAATCTGAAAAAAATAACTCAATCACTATGCTGTATACCTGGAACGAGCACAACATTGTAAATCAACTATACTTCAATGTAAAATAAGAGCTGCCAGGAAGCAGGCTGGGAACTCTATGAAAGATCCACAAAATTGCAGAAGCAGCATCTCACTGAGGTGTTTACTGAACGTTGCTACAGGAAAGAGAAACTCCTCCCAGCATAGGCCAATGGGAGCGACCACTACCAACTGCCACCAACCAGGGGAGACCTCCGGGCCTCACTAACAGCCCACAGCTGTGCCCGAGAGCGACACAGGAGCCAGTGCCTCAGAAGTTTCTGATGCAACCCTCCACCGAGATGGTCAGACAGAGTATCGTATCTACTTTCAGGGACTTGTTTATCAGAGTTCTCTCTCCCCATCCAAGCACGGGCCACCCTAGACATCTTTGTAGGAAGTATCATGGGCTTTCAACATACCCATCACTGAGAAGAAAAGCCAGGCCACCACCAACAAACTTTACCAGGAAGAGGTCTAGAAACGCCGGTTTAGCCAGGAAGACTTGAACTGTTACCCTGTGCTCGGAGCCTGGGTGGACGAGATGGCCTGAGGGGAGATGATATTCTGAGATACCTTGGCTGACAGTTGTGGCCAAATACAAAACAAAACAAAACAAACCTTTTTCTTTTTCCTGCCCCAATGCTACGCCCTGTGGGAAATCAGCTGAGACAAGAAAAAGAGAACACAATAAGGCCATTTATCCTGAAACAAACTGGTCCTTCAGTTTCCGCAAGACATCACATAACTCACCCCTCCAGGGAAGCACTTGCACGTCAGTTGCCTCGCTCTCTGGGCACAGAGCACCATTAACTTAAAAAATGTATAAACTGTTGTGGCAGACACAGGTCATCAAGCATGGTGCTGGGGAAAGGGTGGTTTGGGGTCCATTTATGGAAACATGCCAGGGATTCGCAGGCTGCAAACTTCCCCGATGGAATCTTTTGAAAAGGTTTCTCCTTCCCTCTGGCAATCCCACCAGCAGCAGACATGTGCCCTGGGAAATGTAGCCTGGAATTTCCATCTGCCAAACACCAGGGCTTTTGCATCTCAACTTACTCTTAACTTAGGGTCCCTTCCATGAAGTCATTTGAGGATGCAGCCTGCTGCTCTACCGCTGGACCCTATTTTTAAATATCCTGTGATCTAATTATTTTTACAACCAAATTTTCATTTGACTGTTCGGCCTCCTCTGAGACTATGTAATCACTCAGCCCTATTTGCAGGTTTAAGTGCACGGCTCTGAGGTTGTCTGAACACAGGAAAAGGTTTTGTTGTGCGTATGTGTGCATAATGCCTTCATTGCTAAGTCATTCCTAAATCGTTAACCGCTTTAAAGACGTGTTCCATAAAAACCTGCTTCTGGGCTCCATCCTAGGCGATGGAGCCAGCATGGTCCTGGCTGGATATTTCAGGAAGCTGAGGAGCAACCGCGAAGAACTGCTATGCCTAATCATGGCACCCGTCCGGATACTGTAGGAAAACTGTGACCAAAAATACCTCCTGAAGACAGAATGACTACATGGCCTGGGGCCGACTGGCAGTGTCAAGGTGTTGGGTTTTTCCAAGAATGGCACATAGAAGAAGACTACTAAGGGTTGAGCTTTACTTGGAAAATGGCCCTGTCAATGCCAGGAGGAGCGCTGGCAGTGTGGAAAATAAAGAAAGCTCTCGTGTAAGAAAATCTACCATGGGGCAATGGCATGATGGGAAGTATGGCACAGTCAAGAGCCACGTGTGGCAGCAGACAGATCTGGGTTCAAATCCCAGCTCTGCACCTTTCTAGAAGTGTGGCCTTGGACAATCTAATTAACTCCTCTGATTGCCAGTTTCCCATCTATAAAAATGAAGAACATTGCATAAGGAACAAAGAAGATCATAAAGTATTTAGCACAGCACCTAGAAATAGTAGCTGTTAAAGCATTATTATCATAATTATTTTCTCATATTAACTTCTTATATCTGTAGAGTGTTTTAGAGTTTGCAAAGGGCCTTCCTAATCATCCTTTTTTTAGGAAAACTAGGTAATTTATTCATGCAATTAAAAATGCAAAACGATATACAAATACACAATGAGAGTCTAGTGCCCACCTGTGTCTGTCTGCCCACTCCCTTCCTCACTGCTGCTCCTTCAGGCAACCACTTTCTTTAGCTTCTTATGTATCCTCCAGTGTTCCTTTTTTTGTTTTGTTTTGTTTTGTCTTTTAAACCCGGGCCTTCGGCAGTGAAAGCGCAGAGCCCCAACCACCGGACCGCTGGGGAATTCCCTCCGGTGTTCCTTTATGCACACACAATATGCATGTATTCAGATATTTTCCCTTCTCTTACACAAAGGTAGCATTCTATTTACACTATTCTATTCTTTGATGTTTTTACCTTACGATAAATCTTTACTATGGACAGATCCTACAACTAAATTGTATTCCATGGTGTGACTCTATCCAAGTTTCTTTAACCAGCCCCTTCTGGGTGGACACGTGGGCTGTTCCCAAGGCCAGCCTTCCATTACTCCCGACACTGCTACAGTGAAGACCCTTGTCCATTGTCATTTTGTACAAGCGCAGGCACGCTCTTAGAATAAATAGAATAAACAGCAATGAGATCAAAGGGCACGAGCATCTGTGATTCTGATCCATGTTGCCAACTGCTCCCCATCAGGACTGTACCATTCTACACCTCCTCCCGCAATGGACAAGATTTTGACAAAGAAACAATCCCTTTGAACACTTTCACTGTCTCTTCTGCTAGCTACCCACCCCATGTCTCCAAATGTTATGACTAGCTGCTGTTTCTGTACTTTTACCATTTTAACCATTGTAAATGTACAATTCAGTGGCATTAAGTACATTCAAAATGTCATGCAACCAACACTACTATCCATCTCCAGAATTCGTTCATCGTCACACACTGAAGCTCTGTACCCATTAAACAATAACTCCCCATTCCTCCTTCCATCCATCCTTATCCTGTCCTGGCACTTATCCATGTAGCGTGGTTTGAAGGGAACCAAGCCCCCTGCCAAGCCCCCTGAAATACTCCCATTTGCTCTCAGAACCATAACATTCTTTCAGTAATAAGGGAACAGAGATTTTCATCGTATTAGGAGAAATCAGCTTGGTAGAAAAAAACTGCCCTGGAAGAGGAAACCATAATCTTAAACTTACACATAAACTGGTGCATAACTCATTTCTATGTGCAGCTTGCCATGCAGGTTGGGGTGCAGGATGCTGGAAAGGGGAGTGATGATGGTATATCTCATGGCATGTGCAGCTAAGAGGATCAGAAAGGGAAGGCTGAGGCAAAGGACACATTTATCTGCTCACTCCACTAAGGACAAGGCCTGGTTATCAGACACAGAAGGGTGAATCTAGTTTTGCAACAGGCAAATACTCTGTTTCCTAAGCCCTACACTTCTGTAAGCACCTCCCTACCAGGACCAATCTCTCCCCAGACTCTCCAGCCTTGTCCAGATTCCTTGTTCCAATCTCCAAACCTCTCCAAAACTACAAGCCAGAGGGGTTAGGGGATAGGGAGAGAAAAGGAGGTGACAGTACATAGAAGGGACGCTAACTGAGATCATGCAGGTGAAGTGCTTAGCAGAGGGTCTGGCGCCCAGTACGTGCTCAGTAAACAGTGATGATGATACAGGTGATGAAGACGATGATAATGTAAATAATGGGCAAGCTTCCTCCAGTAACAGCTGCTTGAACCATGGCTCAGCTCCTATCTATTGTAGCTGCTAACTTCCTTATTCTGACCTGGAACCTGGCCCCCTCCAGCTCCCACCCATGGATCTTAGTTCTACCTCTTGAGCCACACAAGATCTGACTACCCTTCCAGTTACACACACCACCTACCAGTGGGTTGAAGAGAGTGGTGATGGTTCTTCCTGGCGTCTCCTCTTCTCCAGTTGGAACGTGCCATCATTCTGCACACATCCTTCATAAAACTTGGTTTCTAGAGCCTCATCAAGTGTTTTGACAGATTGGAACAACGGAGGCAAGGAGAGAGTGGTTCCTGTCCCGTGAAACATAGAGATGGAACACAGCTGAGGAACAGGTAGAGCTTGATGGACACAAAGGCTGAGGGAACAGGATGAAAAGTGAGGGACTCCCTGGGTCAGACGTCTCACTCCAGAGTGGAGACCCATGAGGGTACCAACACTGGACTCTTGGCTGGGTCAGCCCTGGACCAGGGCTTGACAGTGTTCCACGGCCGAATCCCCGGAGATTCTGTTATTTAAGTGTGCTACTTCTGAGGTTCACCTCATGTGAGCCCATCTAAGTGGGATATTAGGGAGCCGCCCTCTCAAAGCCACCCTCTCTATCTTTAGGCGGAGAATTAAGCTGGGGTATGATAACTTTGAATTTCACGTTCCAGGGGCCAAGTCCCACTTTGACCAGAAGAGACCTGTCTCTCTTTCCTGTGATAACCTGTTTGCAGGACGGGACAGAGTATTGGAACAAAGTGCCATAGAGCAGGGAGGAGACACTGAGTACAGCTTTCCTCCTTCCCCTGGAAACCCCTGCAGCCTCCACAGCCTGTGGGCGCGTGACGGCATCAGCATTAAGATCTACCAATCAATAGTGGTTAACAGGTTGGCAGATCCCTGGCGCTGAACTCCAATTAGATTATATGTCTACACACATTTTTTTTTTTTGTCCCATGTGATTCTGCAGCTCAAATTATCCAAGTATGTGTTCACTACTGCAACTCAGCAGCTTAATTTCCTAAACCTTCATTCATTCCTTCCCATGGAGAAAATCTCCTCCATCCATCATCCTCCCTCCTCACATCACTCTTCTAAAAACCTCCCTAGAGCAAATGCCCACAAACACCCCCTTCTCTATTAAGCCCAGCAACAATTTCAAGAATGAAGGCAGAGGTGCTCTTTGATACACAGAACACAGCACCGAGAAAGTTCATGGCCACTGGTGTCTCCTCTAAGGGTGTCACCGAACACCTGTGGGCAGAATAGCCATCATCGGCTCCCTGCTTCTCCCAGTTCACTAACCACAGGGTCGTGCAGCCAGTTGCAAGGCACCTGGTCGGTGTGAACAGTCCCCATGACATCACCAGCTGGGTTACTTGTACATGCCAGGACAGATCCAGGTGGCTCGGCATTGGGGCCTGGAGGATTCTCCTACACAGTGTATGGACGTGGAGGTCAAGTTCAGGTTCCGTGGCCCCGGGTGGAGGATACGTGTTGCTGCACAGAGCCAGCTTTGCCTTCCCCAGGCTGTGACCGTAAGTGCTTCCCAGCAATGTACCATCTTTATTGATTCTGCCTAATTTTTCTCCCCATCCACCTTCTCTTTTCTGTTTTGGATGGTAGTGACTGCCTGAGTTAGCCCTTATGAGTCAATTCCACCTACTTTTGGTCAAACTCCACTCCTGGCTTGGTGATCTTCCAAGACAAATGCAGAAGCCACAGGAGGCTGGAGAGGTGCCCTGGCAGAGTTGCCTAACAGAACTTCAATTAATTTCTCAAGTTGCCATCAGGATCTCCAACATGAGAGCAGAGCTCAGCGTCCAAGCCTGGCGGGTCACCTGGCTGGCGTACTAGGTAGACATTTAGGATATCAGGGCCTCTTTACCTCTGCCTTTCAATACTAGAACCAATTCCTGATTCCAACACTCATACACACGCGAGAGGGAAAAAGCTTTTGAATTCCACATACTTCCTAAGTCAAGAGGAAGAATGAAAGGAAGGCGAGAGAGGCAGTGAGGAAAGCAGACACAGAAGCAGAGAGAACATCACTTCAAGTTTGGCTCCGGTCTATCTCTCACACTTAAACCCCTAACTCTGCTCACTCCACACTTCAGACTTACAGCCCTCCCGTTCCCCAGCACCCACGGTGGCTCTAGAATTTTTATCTAAGAAGTTGAGAATCTGATTGGAAGAGGAACTAGGGAACTTGTTTTGAGGCCACAGTGGCTTGTTAAGCACAGTATCTTGATGTTGAATAAATACTTCTTGGGGGTGACTCATAGGCATGATCAGGGTATTCCCACTGCCCAGCAATCGCCACTCCAGTTGGTTGAGTCATTCTCTTTCCTCTCAACTCATGATGTCCATGCCATGGACTTAGCTTTTCTCCTCTCCCTTCCTTCCCCTTACCCAGAAGAACAATGCACAGACCTTCCCATGCTCAGCTTCTCAATGAGACCCAATTAAACACATTCAATGAATATTGCTTATTTACTTGGCAGCTGGGTATGGTACCTGGATGGATGCCAGGCACTGCCTAACAAGCCCTGAATCTATTCAAGACTTTACAGTTTGCAAAGCTTCCACATTCAGCACCTTCTTCAACTCTCACAACTATTTAGAAGAGAAACGGTCCTTATCCCACCTTAAAGATGAGGACAAAAACAAGCATGCCAACACAAATTTTAGACACAGAGACCTGAACTGAAATTTCACCTCTAATAGCTTATTGCTCTGTGTGAGCGGGGACAGGTGTGAGTCTCAGTTTTCCCATCTATAAAATGGGACTGCAACTACCCCCCTTGTAAGATTATTGTTAGATCTAGAGATAACATATTTAAGGTGCCTCACAAAGTATGTGGAATGGAGTATAAGCTCTTAAATGGTAACAACTTTAATTTTTTTTTGTTTGTTTGTTTTTGCGGTACGCGGGCCTCTCACTGCTGTGGCCTCTCCCGTTGCGGAGCACAGGCTCCGGATGCGCAGGCTCAGCGGCCATGGCTCACGGGCCCAGCCGCTCCGCGGCATGTGGGATCTTCCCGGACTGGGGCACGAACCCGTGTCCCCTGCATCGGCAGGCGGACTCCCAACCACTGCGCCACCAGGGAAGCCCTTTTTTTTTTTTAATGGTAAAAACTTCGATGACGATGAAGATGGTGGTGGTGGTGGTACAGGCGATGACGATGACTACACTAACCAAGATGCTGGTAGTGGTTTTGTTGTTTATCTATATTTTCTAAGTTTTCTACAGACTACTATCATCTATGGAAAAAAAAATGATTCAAGTCCTTTCAAATCCTCCTGATGAGAGCCCTTCTACTCTAGGGCATCACGTTAATTCTGAGAAAACCCACTAGGAAGCCAGCAGCTTTGGGAAGGTGCCATCTTAATGCCCGGCCAAGGCCTCATTCCCCTTGCTTGGTCTCACTCACCACATATTCAAGTCCAGGTAATTGTGCCCAGCAGCGACGGGCCCCATGTAATTGCCCCTAAATTGCTCCAGTAGCCTTTCTAGGCGAGAGTTCTTCACAATTAGTCCTCGCATCACCATGTTGAAAGACAAGTGATTATTTGCGGGAATTACTTGTCAGCAAGAAGACTAGGCTCTGATAGGACATAATAGAGGCCGTGTGTTCATTACAATCTGCGAGATGCTATCACATCGTTTCTTAATCCTCAGCTCATTACGCATTCCAGCCTCAGCCCCCTGTCGTTACTGTGAGCTTGTTACACATGCAAAGGAAAGCATCTCAAGTGAGGACAGTTTCAGGACTGTGAGGGTGCATCCGTATGCAGGTGGTCAGCAAGCATCTACTTAATGAGCCTAATTTTGCCTTGGATCCAGAGAACCACACGTATATCTTTGAGGGCAAGCACGCCCACACGTACACAGAGGCAGGCATTCTTAGAACATCTTGTGAAAAATATCTAAACACTTCCTGATTACATTCCTTCTATTTCGCCTTCTTTGGGTTTGTTTGTTTTTTTTAAGCAACTAGGAATGATTTCTTGAGATAGGAAACCAAAATTCTCAATCAAGTATTCAGTCTACCAAGTATTTTCAATCAAGTGTTCAAAATTCTCAATCAAGTGTTCAAAATTCTCAATCAAGTGCCAAGCCTGACGTAGGCACAGGGGGATAACAGAAAAGGAGAACACACGTCCTCATGGAGTTTGTAATTGAGTTAGAGAGAAATGCTCAGTGCCCACAGAACAAGGAGCAAAAAGAGTGGCAGCAGCAGGAGAGCAGGAGGGTAAAATCATATGCCAAATGTTCCTGGCATTCTGAGAACAGAAGGGAGAGTGCATCGGGGGATACCTAGGGGAGAAGTAGACATTGGGTTTAGCCTAGAGGAATGGGTCAGGCAGCGGGTAGAAGCAGGGAGGATGGTCTTCTGTGAGCAGAGGGAAAGAGAAGGGATGAGAGAGAGAGAGGAGGACGCGTGTGTAAATCTTGATGAGAAACGCGACAGGTCTCCATGGCGCTAATCTGATGTCCTTGCTCTCTGGGGTAGATTAAAGAGTTGGGGGTAAAACAGACAGGGGTTAGGAAGCTAATGAGGCCCTTGCCCTCAGGAAAGTTTAAGGGGAACTGGCTCCTGCAATCTTGTTTTATAGCTTAGAACCCCATCTTCCAATTTGGCAGGACTCTTCTGTATCAGTTTCATCCTTGACGGGGCGTTCTTCATGCTTGCTGAGGGCGTCCATATTTGGGGATCACTTGTTCCGTACAGCTTAAGGAGAGCCAAATCCCTAAGGGCAGTGGCCTCAGATTTCATCCCTCTTTGTTCATCCCATAAGTGTGAGCCTCCACTTTCATTCTGCCCCACCTCCCAAGCCAAGTCATTTTAGGATCTAGCCGCAGGGGGCCAGTGCTGGGTCAGCTCTCAGCGATGGGCAGGAGGCTTACAGGGATTAAGGCGAGGCGGGGGGGGGGGCACCAGATTTGGTTTCAAAGCAATCTTCACCAGGATATTGGATGGCGTTTAGGGAGCCACTAATGGAGATGGGGGCGGGAGGTGGCCAGCCCTCTGGAAAATAATAACGCCTGAAGATTTTCCATCCTGATAGTGAAATCGAGTCGCCCAACGGCGGGCCACCACTTGGGATCGCTGCTCTACTTTGCGCGGTTAGAGGGGAGTCAATGACACCAGGAGGCCTTGTACCAGGCCAGGGAAGGAAAAAGCCACCAGCAGCGCTGTCTCCAAGTCAGCACCAGGGCAGGACAAAGGCCTCATGGGATCAGAAGCCAGTCTGGGCCCAGGAAGGGGATGAAAAAGTAGCTAATTACCATTTTGCCAAGGTCGGCATTCAGGGAACGTGGCCTTCAGGATTGCTGACTCAGAAATCACCCTCTAACACAGAGCCTGGGCTTAATCCCTCTCAGCTCTACTTCCTGCCAGACCAAACTGTTTACCCATCCTGCTCAGAGCCTGCTGCAGCCTCCTTTCTGCCTTTCCCCAGGGCCATGCATGCTCCTCCAGTTCGCCTTCCAGACAAACCTCCCTGATTCCGTCCCCTGGTGGGACACAGCGCTGCCACCGTGGATTTCTCTGTCTGCATTAGCGAACTCGGCAAGGTGCCACGAAAGAGCAAGGGCGCTGCAGACCCAGGGCTGGAATTCCAGCTCTGACACTGGTGTGTGGGGGGAACTTGTAACCCTCACTCCCTGAGACTCTGTTCATGGACATCCTTACAGCTCACTCCTGATTTGCGGCGAGGACTAAGTGAAATGTGATGGAAGTGAGGTGGCCCGCCTCTGGCCGGGCACATAGTAGGCGCTACATTATTTCTCTCTCTTCAGAACATGGGCCCCTGAGAGTAAGAACTGGGTGCACTCCCTCTCTCCTCTGTGCCATCCCAGCGGGGCTAGAACAGGACTGTGTGTGCAGGGTGGGCTGGTGGCCAGCGCCCAGAGGTCTGCATTACCCTCCATAGAACCACCAATCCAAGGGGCCAACGTAGCATCGCTCTCCGGGCTCCAAGACATGGCAGCTCATCTGGGTAATGAGTTGAGAACTGCCCAGGCTGCCACCCCTCTCACCCACCAGCCTCACCACCCCCAGCCCTACCCCACATTCCCAGACACCCACACAAACCTACCCTTTGCTGGCAGGGGCAAAATCAGCAGCAACTTCTGGGGGGGGCACAACTTCCCTCACTCACTCCCTTCTTCCCCCTGTGCTGACAGCTTTTTTAAAAGTCACGTTTCATTATCAAGACGGAAGATCTCCAGAGCTGCTTCCCAAGGGACAGTCAACTAAGCAGCAGAACAGCTCAATGGAAAGAACCAGAAGGCTATGACAGGATCCTGCTCTGCCATGTATTGGCTGAGCAACCTTGAGCCAGTCGCTTAACTTCTCTGAGCCTCTTTTTCCATATCTGCAAAAAAGAGAATTAAGGAGGGAAAATTGGCAGGGTTTTCAGTGCGAGGAAAAAGCAAGATAATGTATATGAAAGGGCTTTGTTACCAGAAAGGGCTGTAAAAAATGGGAGGGGTGGTTGTTTGGAAGGACATTTTTTACAGGAGACAGCCTAAGGCCATCTGCCTTCCACGTACAGATTATGTGCTTCCTATGTGACAGGCAGGGCACGAGGCTGGAGGAAAACAAAGGACCTGTTTCTGCCCTGGAAGAGCCTCCATTCTCATGGAGGAGAGACACAGTGAATATGTCCTATGCCATGGGAGCAGGGCTATGAGGGGTGGAGCAGGTGGGGCTTAGGGAGCTGAGGAGGGTGGGGTTACTGGTGTGTAGGGCGTGGTCAGGGAGGGCCTTTGCAGCAGGACTGCCTGTTCGCAGACGCCTCCCACTGCCAAACTCCCTTCCCCTGAGAGAGTCTGATGGCAGCCAAGGGAGGACGAAAGACCCCCTCCTATTGGTTGGCAGATTCTGGCCACCAACATCATTGTTGAACATCGTCCCAGAAGTACAAGCCAGTGCACTCAGATAAGGAGAAAAACAAGAGGCACATATATGAGAAAGGAGGAAGCAGATGTAATATGATTTGCAGATATGATTATATATCCAACTAAACTGAAAAACTTTAGAAAGAAAAAGAGAATTGAGGGCATCCCTGGTGGCGCAGTGGTTAAGAATCCGCATGCCAATGCAGGGAACACGGGTTCGAGCCCTGATCCAGAAAGATCCCACATGCCGCAGAGCAGCTAAGCCCGTGTGCCACAACTACTGAGCCTGCGCTCTAGAGCCCGCGAGCCACAACTACTGAAGCCTGCGCACCTAGAGCCTGTGCTCCGCAACAAGAGAAGCCACCGCAATGAGAAGTCCACGCACCGCAACAAAGAGTAGCCCCTGCTTGCTGCAACTAGAGAAAGCCCGCATGCAGCAACGGAAACACAACGCAGCCAAAAATAAAATTAATTTAAAAAAAAAAAAACAGCAGTTACCTCTGGGGTTGGGGGTGGAGTGACTGGGATGGGACATGAGGGAACGTTCTGGAGTGATAAGGTTCAACGTATGCAAGTTTTAACTCAAAAGAAAAATAACTGTAAACAAATATTAAACTCGGAAGCAGCGCTGTCCAACAGAACATTCTCAGTGAAGGAAATTGTTCTGCGTCTGTGCTGTCGTCAGTCACTGTGGCTACAGAGCTCCTGACATCGGATGACTGAATCAGGTTCTGTGACACATAGGCTCTCCCAGATCCTCCCAGCCCTGTGGCCGGCAGGGCAGGGAGACCTTCACATCAGAGACAAAGGTGGTTTTGGACAGAATGGGTAAGGGACTCACCCAAGGTCATACAGAGCAGCGAGACGACCAAGGGCAGAAAGTTCTGAATCTCCCATTCTGAGATGTAGTCTCACTTCCCTCACATCGCAGAGGGAAGAAAAGCCTTAGAGCTGGGGGTAAGGACAGATCTGGAAGATGGAAAAGCTCCGGGAGTCTCCGGCAAGATGCCAGAGATGCTGAAGGCCCAACTTAGAGAGGACAAACTTCTTTCTGAAGGGGACAAACTCTGGTCTAACAATGACAATATTCTAATCCATTCTGACACTTTAAACATGTAAACACGGTTTCACACAGAGAGTCTTTCATTCCATCCTGGCAACTCGCAGGCTCCTTAGTTGTGGCATGCGAACTCAGTTGAGGCATGCATGTGGGATCTAGTTCCCTGACCAGGGATCGAACCCGGGCCCCCTGCATTGAGAGCTCAGAGTCTTATCCACTGCACCACCAGGGAAGTCCCTGTGACACAGCTCTGTAAATGACAAAGCTAGAAACTGGAGTTTGGCTAGGGCCAGAAGCCCAGAGGACAGCAGAGTCCTGACGAATCAGAGCTGAGCTAGAGCTGTCCAGACCCCACAGGAGTGGGAGGATGGAGTCATGAGCAGGCCCTTCTTTCTCACAGCAAGCACCTGAGCTGTGTTCTGCATTTGCCTCTGAGGTGTTTGCCCTTAGAGAGGGATTACCTTTAGCTCATGAATCTCCCACGTTCCTGACATCACCTTACTGGGGTGATGAATCACTAGGATCATCACCACCATATTTAATGAGCCATCTCCTTTCGCCCAGCAAGCAGCATGCCGACCCCTTCTTTCTGGAGGCTGCGGTCAAGAGGGGAGCTTTACAGGATCAAATTAACATAGGGAAAAGGGACTTCTGGGCTCTCCTATCTTCCCACCAGCCTGTCAGGATGGAAGATGGAAAATTCATCGCTAGTAAACCGTGTGCACACGTGCGCGCGAGAGAGAGAGACAGACAGACAGAGAGACAGAGAAACAGAGAGAGAAACAGAGACAGAGAGAGAAAGAGAGAAACAGAGAGACAGACAAAGAGAGACAGAGAGAAACAGAGACAGAGAGAGAGAAACAGAGACAGAGACAGAGAGAGAAACAGAGAGAGACAGAGAGAGAAACAGAGAGACAGAGAGAGAAACAGAGACAGAGAGACAGAGAGAGAAACAGAGACAGAGAGACAGAGAGAGAGAACAGAGACAGAGAGACAGAGAGAGAGAAACAGAGAGAGACAGAGAGAGAGAGAGAAACAGACAGAGACAGAGAGAAACAGAGGCAGAGAGACAGAGAAACAGAGAGAGACAGAGACAGAGAGAAAGAGAAACAGAGACAGAGAGACAGAGACAGAGAGAAACAGAGAGAGACAGAGACAGAGAGAAACAGAGAGAGAGAGAAACAGAGAGAGACAGAGAGAAAGAGAAACAGAGACAGAGAGACAGAGACAGAGAGAAACAGAGAGAGACAGAGACCTGGCAACTCGCAGGCTCCTTAGTTGTGGCATGCGAACTCAGTTGAGGCATGCATGTGGGATCTAGTTCCCTGACCAGGGATCGAACCCGGGCCCCCTGCATTGAGAGCTCAGAGTCTTATCCACTGCACCACCAGGGAAGTCCCTGTGACACAGCTCTGTAAATGACAAAGCTAGAAACTGGAGTTTGGCTAGGGCCAGAAGCCCAGAGGACAGCAGAGTCCTGACGAATCAGAGCTGAGCTAGAGCTGTCCAGACCCCACAGGAGTGGGAGGATGGAGTCATGAGCAGGCCCTTCTTTCTCACAGCAAGCACCTGAGCTGTGTTCTGCATTTGCCTCTGAGGTGTTTGCCCTTAGAGAGGGATTACCTTTAGCTCATGAATCTCCCACGTTCCTGACATCACCTTACTGGGGTGATGAATCACTAGGATCATCACCACCATATTTAATGAGCCATCTCCTTTCGCCCAGCAAGCAGCATGCCGACCCCTTCTTTCTGGAGGCTGCGGTCAAGAGGGGAGCTTTACAGGATCAAATTAACATAGGGAAAAGGGACTTCTGGGCTCTCCTATCTTCCCACCAGCCTGTCAGGATGGAAGATGGAAAATTCATCGCTAGTAAACCGTGTGCACACGTGCGCGCGAGAGAGAGAGACAGACAGACAGAGAGACAGAGAAACAGAGAGAGAAACAGAGACAGAGAGAGAAAGAGAGAAACAGAGAGACAGACAAAGAGAGACAGAGAGAAACAGAGACAGAGAGAGAGAAACAGAGACAGAGACAGAGAGAGAAACAGAGAGAGACAGAGAGAGAAACAGAGAGACAGAGAGAGAAACAGAGACAGAGAGACAGAGAGAGAAACAGAGACAGAGAGACAGAGAGAGAGAACAGAGACAGAGAGACAGAGAGAGAGAAACAGAGAGAGACAGAGAGAGAGAGAGAAACAGACAGAGACAGAGAGAAACAGAGGCAGAGAGACAGAGAAACAGAGAGAGACAGAGACAGAGAGAAAGAGAAACAGAGACAGAGAGACAGAGACAGAGAGAAACAGAGAGAGACAGAGACAGAGAGAAACAGAGAGAGAGAGAAACAGAGAGAGACAGAGAGAAAGAGAAACAGAGACAGAGAGACAGAGACAGAGAGAAACAGAGAGAGACAGAGAGAGAGACAGAGAGAGAGACAGAGAGAGAGTCTTTACAAAACCTTAAAGGGGCGGGTATTTTTTATTCCAATTTTTTTGAGATGAGAACTGAGTCAGAAGGGACTAAATGACCTACCCATGTCAGCTGTATTAAGTCTTGCTGTGTGCTATTAGCATGCCATCAATTATGGGACATGCCTGGAAAGTTCCCTGAAAGCACCACTTTTAATCAGCAAAGGGCACTGCTGAAGTCACAGCCAGGTGTCTGTCTGACAGGGTCCTCCTTGGCTTCATTTTCCTTGGCCCCAGACTCAGGCAATGTCACTGTGCTGGTCCTCTGGAACACCTCCCCCAGTTGATGGATGGCATACTCAGCTCTAGAGAGCAGGCATTATGGAGACCCCCACTGTGCTAAGCGCTGGGCCTGGGGCAGGATGGGAGCGGGCGGAGACTGGGGGATATAAAGACACACAGAGGCAGGGGCTGGGTTCCAGAAGGTAATGGGCAGCTAGGAGCTTAGACACCAGGGCTCCAGACTGAGCTATCAGTCGTGTCCACAACCGGAGAGAACAAGTTGTTGATATTTGGCCTGCAAAGATAATACCTTATAAGTTTAAGTGAGATTCTGTGTCTTAAATATGGTAACAGCTATCGTTATGGAGCAGCTCCTGTTTGCCAGACCCTGCGCTAAGTGCATTATACAGCACAGCCTCAATTAAGCCTCGTCTGAATTGAAGAGGCTTGTGAAACAGACGCCGCTATCATCACCGTCTTACACAAGAGGATGCTGATGCCTGCCAGAAAGCCACCCAGCTTGGCTCGTAGGTGGTGGAGCCGGGATTTGAACCCAGGCAGTGCGATTCCAGAGCCTCATGCTGAACTGTCAGTGTAGGTCTCACCCTATAAAAGACTTTTTCCTGAGCCTCTGTGCATCTAACACACACATGGAAATTCAAGGAACACCTCATTTAAAACCTATATGATTAGCTTTAGCCACGAAGGTGCAAAGTCCCTCTTCATTAGTTTACTAATCCCCTGCCCACGCCCAAATGAATGCTTTGGCCACATTTTTGTCCATAGGGGTGACATAAAACAAACAAACCAAATCCTTGTCTATCTGAGCATACAGGGGTCCCAGGCTACCCTCTGGGTCCTGAACTTCTTTGCCTCATTTCGTGGTCAGTTCAGAGGACCCCTAGGCTGGACATCACCTCATACCTGGAACATAGTACCTAGTGTAGGGGGCACTGGGGCTTGAAAATAGGGCTCTGTCCTTTAGCAGCCTGTGTCCTGGGGTAACCTGTCCAATAAGCTCTAGAGCCCTGCCCTGCCCTCAGTACAGCAGAGATGACACTGCTGATCACAGTGATCTGATAACAGGTAACTCTGTCACTGATTGATCACCTGCTCAGTGCCAGGCACTTCCTGCCTTATCTAATTTGGGCCACACAGCCACCCTGGAAGGGAGGTACTATAACAAACTGCATTTTACAGATGGGGAAGCTGAGGCCCAGAGGGATAAATGATTTGTGCAGAGTCAGATAACTAGTAAGTGCCATGCCCATGTTCATTCTATGCAAGGCCTTGCTCTTGAACCACTGGCAGGTCTGTGGGCACCCTGCAGAGCTCTGCAGAAGATAAGGGCCCACCAGGTGAATGGAAACACATCCCACCTCCCAGCACCTGGTCTTACTGTGCAGCCTGGGCTCCTGCCTAATTCCGTCCTCTTGGTCTTAGGCTGACTCATTCAGAGGTATAGAAGAATCCTTCTCTTCCTGCCTTTTTTTTTTGTTTTAATTTCCTTTTTATTTTTGGTTGCGTTGGGTCTTCGTTGCTGCGCAGGCTTTCTCTAGTTGTGGCGAGCGGGGGCTACTCTTCGTTGCGGTGCGTGGGCTTTTCATTGCAGTGGCTTCTCTTGTTGCGGGGCACAGGCTCTAGGTGCACGGGCTTCAGTAGTTGTGGCACGTGGGCTCAGTAGTTGTAGCTCACGGGCTCAGTAGTTGTGGCTCATGGGCTCAATAGTTGTGGCGCGCAGCTCTAGAGCCCAGGCTTAGTAGTTGTGGCGCACGGGCTTAGTTGCTCTGCGGCCTGTGGGATCTTCCCAGACCAGGGATTGAACCCTGCATTGCCAGGCAGATTCTTAACCACTGTGCCGCCAGGGAAGTCCCTCTTCCAGCTTTAAGAGACCACTTCTGCCTGATGGTACCCATCTCCAGAAACGACACATACTCCTTGATTCGGCAGCCAGCTTAGTGTAGCTCTCAACACAGGATAGGTATCTGATGAATGTTGATACAGGAACCCATCAATGTTCCACTCCTCTGGAGGTGGAATCCTGCCTCTGGTGGTGCGTGGCAGCCCCATTAGACGCTGCTTCTTCAGGCGCCAGGGCAGACTGTTTCGGCGTTTCCCCAGCTGGCCCTTGCAGGTCTGTGCAACCACCTGAAACCAAGCAAGTCCTGAAACACATCAGACAGATCAATTGTGGAGCTGCCACCGGTAGGAGCTCATTAAGGATTTGCTTCCTCTGGGACCCAGAGAGCCCCTAGTCCCCAGCCCTCAGCCCATTCTCATCCTCCTTTCACCATCCTCATGCCAAACATCCTTCTAAGTGCACATATGTAGTGCCAGGCCCTGTTCTAAATGCTTGACATGTATTAACTCATTCATCCTCACAATCACCATTAGGCTAGGTTTGCTAGGAAAAGCCCTGCTTCATGTTATTGTATTACATTATCACATAGTGTCACATCATATCCCATCATATTATTCAATTTCATGGTGAAAAATACAAAAGAGATAAAAGGATATGCCAGCCCATATCCAGGATGGGCTACCCTGCAACAGCTTTTAAATGGGGACCAGGATGGGCCCCTGCTTTCTCCCTGCAGCCCAGCCAGCTCTGCACTGAGTCCTGGCTGTGACCCAGACCAGAGCCAGAGACTTGTAGCCCTTGGGACAGGATGGTGGAGCCTGGGCTAAGCTGGTGTTTCCCAAACTTGGATCTTCCCAGGACTTCTGTCTCAATTTTTGCCCTATTCAACTAGTACCTCTACTTTTTAACTCTTTACTTAAGAATTAATATTTAAATTGGTTCACTTTAACTTGAAGAATTTTTAAAGGGAACCGCATCACTGTCCCAAAGGAGTTGGTATGGAGTAGCTGCTAAGAACATGGGTTCTGGATTGAATTCAAGCTCGGCCCTTGCCTCCCTGTGACTCTCTGGGTATTTACTAAAATTCTCCTAACTGCAGTTTCTGTAACGGAAAAATGGGGGCCTAGAACCTCTCTCATAGGGTTGTTGGTGAGGATCAATTCACAACAATGCTTGTAAGTTGGTGTTAGCTGCTATTTAGGAGATAACTGGAAAAACAAGCACAAAGAAAATCAAACAATTTATTAAATATTATTAACCAGACACTGCCTGCCTGAAGCCCAGTTTTCTCTTTGTCAGAGACAGAGATGAACAAAGGTTAGAGCAGTTTTGAAAACTTATAAACACCAAATGAGACTTTCTTCTTGCTGTGTTCAGAAGTACTGAGGAGAGTGGAAAGGGGAATAACTGTCTCGCGCTGTGAGACGCTATTATCAGAGCCATGCCTGTGTCCCATCTAGAACCATCTTGTGTACTCTCTGCGTCACTCAGTCCACACTCTGGGAAAGGCTGGGTCGAGCAGTGATTTCCTAGGGGTGGGGAGGGGGTGGAGGGAGGCCCCCGTCTCTAGCAGAGAGATCCGCTGATCCTCCCAGGTCCTCTTCCTCCCCCACCCTGCTGGGCTGCGCCTGTCTTCCCCAGGTGAGAATTACCATGTCTCAGGAGAGTTGTCATTTGCGGGGGAGTGTCACTCACGTGAAGGGTCGAGAGGCAAGAAAAGGGGCTGAGACCAGCGTGTGAAGGGGAACCTTAGCCAATTTAGGCAACTGGTATTACGATGGAGCCTTAGGGGTCGTTTGCACCCACTGTAGCCCCTTCTTACTTAGTTCACCAACCAACCAAGTGAAAAGTTCAGGCAGATGACGATAAAACCAAGACAAACCACGATTAGCTTAAATTGGACAAGGTAGTAGATGACAATAAGGAACTAGTGTTAGTATAGCTGGGCATGATGATTTCACAGCTATGCTTTTCTTTAAAAGTCCATATCTATTAGAGAAATACAGTAATGCCTTTGTCATTTTTTCCATTTTTGTCAATTTTTAACTTATTTATCTGAAGCTATGTTATTAAGTGCAAATAAATTTGAACTGCTTAGTTTTCTGGTTCATTTGCCTTCCACGTAGAGTTTAACTAACAATTTAAAAAGAAATAACGCTGGGGAATTCCCCAGTGGTCCAGTGGTTACGACTCCGCGCTTTCACTGCCAAGGGCCCAGGTTCCATCCCTGATCAGGGAACTAAGATCCCACAAGCTGCATGGCATGGCCAATAAATAAATAAATAAACAACAACAACAAAATAAAAATTTTAAAAAAGAAAGAAATAACACTGATCTTTACACATTTTTCCAGATATTAGAAAAAAAGAAACATAATCTAGCTCATATTATGAGGCCTATAAAATATTCATACCAAAACTGACCAAAAAACAGTATGAGAAAGGAAAACTACAGGCCAAATCCTGTTCTTGAGATTTAATATTATATTAATGCAAAATTCATTAATAAAATATTAGCAAGTTAATTTCAACAGTATATAAAAAGGATAATATACCATGACCACATTGAGTTTATTCCAAGAATACGAAGATGATTTAATATTGTGCCATATACATTAAGAATAAAAAGGATAAAAACCATGTTATCATCTCAATAGATTCATAAGAAGCATTTGAGAAGATCCAACATCGATTCACACATTATAAAAAAAAACCTCAGCCAAAAAGAAATAGAAGGAAACTCCCTTATCTGATAAAGGCAACCTACATAACAATGTACAGTAAACTTCAATTGCTCTGGACACCCAGCAGAAAGCAAACGGCACCCTCGGATGGGGTGACTTGAAGAGTTGGTGTTTTTTTTTTTTTTTTTTGGCCACACCTCGAGGCATGCAGGATCTCAGTTCCCTGACCAGGGACTGAACCCGTGTACCCTGCAGCGGAAACACAGAATCTTAATCACTGGACCGCCAGGGAAGTCCTGAAGAGTGTTTTATATAGTAACTGTTTACATAGGTGGCATAGAATTTAAACAAACTAACAATGGATAATGTATCATCCCAGGCTAGTAAATGGGTGAAAGGACCTGAAGAGGGAAGAGAACAGAGCAATTACTATAAAATGGAAAAAGTGGGGGCTTCCCTGGTGGCGCAGTGGTTGAGAGTCCGCCTGCCGATTCAGGGGACATGGGTTCGTGCCCCTGTCTGGGAAGATCCCACATGCCGCGGAGCGGCTGGGCCCGTGAGCCATGGCCACTGAGCCTGCGCGCCTGGAGCCTGTGCTCTGCAACGGGAGAGGCCACAACAGTGAGAGGCCCACGTACCGCAAAAATAAATAAATAAATAAATAAAATGGAAAAAGTGGCTGTAGGGAGAAGGCTACATGATATAAGCTGTGGCCTTTGGTAGGACACACCTAATCTACATGACATGGAAGTGAGGTAGTATGGGGTATAAATACCACAATTCAGTTCTCCTCCCTCCCTACCCTATCTCACATCAGTGTCGTTAGATTGGCCACAACCAATCTAAAGCGAAAGGGCAATGGAGACCATTGATTCTCTGTAAGTTGCCTCCCAGGGCACAATTCAGAGGGAAAAGTGTGGAGAATGAATCTGGGGAAGTAAACAAAAAGTATACAACATAATGTAATTTACTAGTAAAATGTGGAAAGTTGGCCTTTTGAGATTCGGAACAAGACAAATATGTCCATTTCTATTCAACACTGTACAGGAAGTAGCCAGTGCAATAAGGCAAGAAGAAGAAATAAGAGGCATAATGATTAAAAGAGAAGAAATAAAAAAAAACCAGGAACAGATTATTTGATTGTATACAGAGAAAATCCAAAATAATGTGCAAATAAATGGTCAGAATTAATAATGGGTTGTTAGCAAAGTTGCTCAATAAAAGATCAATATACAAGAATCAATTGCATTTGTATATACTAGCAACAAATAGGGGAAAAAATCAAATATCTGGGAATTAATCTAACAAACTAAAAGACCTTGCAGAACATGATGAAACACTAGGAAGATAAATGTAAGAAGATGCAAATCAACAAAGCTGTATACCAGGTTCATGAATTGGGAGACCTATATTTGAAAGATAATTCTTCCCAAACTGATCCACAGATTTAATGTAATCTTGATCAAATCTTAATAGGGAAACTTATAGGAGCTGTTTTCTAAACCTGTCTGGAGAAGTAGATCTGCCCACCACAAGGGTAGACTGTATTAGTCATGACTGTATTTAGAGACCTCCAACTATAGGGAGAGTAATTGACCAAAGGCCCCAGCTACTGTTTGGAGATTCATCACCAAGTTTGTGCTGAGGCCACACCTCTAGTGGGCTTGTCCCAGCCAATCAGTGAATGCATTCAGGGATACCAAAGCAGACCTATTCTTGGGAGACACAGGACCCTTCTGAGGCACACCTTTGGCTCTAGGAATCCCCAATAATCTGGTCAAGACTTTCTTTGACCGCACAGTAGCCTAGAAAGATTCCTCCCAATCTTCTCTTCGCTTTACTTGGAATCAGACTTGTGTCACAGTCTGACAGTTCTCCCAACCTTAGCAAGCTCCCTCCCTATTTTCTCTCATATAAACATTTCCCTTAATAAAAGTTATTTATTAATTTTTAATACCTTCTTGGAGAACCTAAATTAACACAATAGCCAAGATGTTCAA